CTCGTGAGGCTACCTTTAGCAGCTACGTTGCTTAGCTTAGCACAAAGATTTCAAGAGCTTTTCACTTCCAGTCCAACGACAATGTCTTGTTGTCATTCCTTCACTTTTGTGTCAGTGAAGCTAATGAAATATAACGTGTCAACTGTGAACTTTAGAGATATTGATAAATGGCTTTTTCCCGCCTTTTTTCAGTCTTTGTGCTAAGCTATGCTAATCAGCTACCTAGCTGTCAGTTCGTTACATTTGTTTGCTTCTTTCCTGCTCTATTTTAATAGATTACAATAATTCCCAATAAAGCTGTTCTCACAAAACATATTCAGACAATGAAACAAGTGTGATTTTTATTTTTCCTTTACTGGAATTCACCCCATTCAGACGACAAGTTGCCATTTCTAAACTGCAGCTCTGCAGTTACTAAGTTACTAAATTTATTACCACAACGTTATCGGACAAAAAGAAATGAGCTACAAACAACTACTTTGCTGAAAAAATTACGATATTTATACGTAAAATGATGCTCAAGAGAGAAAGTTTGAAGCAACAGAAAGTCCAGGTCTAACACGCTTATTTACATCTGTGTCGGCTGCCAACTAGTCAGAGAGAGTCTTCTTCCTGAAGGGGGCGTGGTCGGGGGCGTGGTCAGCAGCAGCTCAGCTACATTCAAAGCTACAGACACTGAAACAGCTCGTTTAGAAAACCAGCAGTAATACAGTCGTGGTAAAACCAACCATCTTTGCAGTATTTTGAGCTTTCAACTTGAAAAACACATTCTGGGGACATATTCGATATTAATCAATTTACTGAAAAGGGGAACAATATGGGACCTTTAATACTGGTTGACATCCTGATACACCTAGTGGACGTTTTAGATCTTCTGGTTCTGGATTACTGGCGGTTCTCAGAGTTGAAACTAAAGGTTTTAGGTCCTCTCGTGTTCAAACGTGGAACAAACTGCCAGAAGAAAATTTCTCGAGACAATTCGGACTCCTTTCAAGTCCGAGGTAAAGACCTACTGAACATCTCTTTGACCAGGAGTTCTCAAAGGTGCCTACGAAGGTCAAGGGTTATGACAACCTCTTTGCAATGGAGATTGAGCCAAGCCTGGGTGTGGCAGAGCTGCCTGATGAGTTCTTCGAGGTGGACAACATGCTCAGTATGGCCAAGAAGATGATGCAGGAGGCCATGAGCGCTTTCCCTGGCATTGATGAAGCCGTGAGCTATGCAGAGGTCATGAGGTTAGTAAAAGCAATGAACTTCTCCGTGGCTGTTTTCACCTGATTATCTTTGAATTCACACTGTTTGTACACTTCTATTTGCTTCTTGTGCCTGTTTATTCAGTCTGAATCGGGTCTGAAAAGTGGCGTATAAACACATTTGCCTTGCA